GTAATTAGAGGCGAAGTTGAACACAGTGTTTTTGCTGGTTCAACTAATGAAGGTCTAGCTAGAGGTTTAGCCAGTTTTAAGAAGCAAGATGTACCAGCAATTAATGTTTTTTTGTGACCGCTGGTGCAAAAATGCAATTGTGTTGTTGGGTGGGATGTGGACTTTGTGTAAGGGGTGTGACTTTTACATTATTATGTAGAATTCCTGCACATGTGGCAATTTCAACTCACTTTTAGGTTGGACACTGCCAAATAATACTTACAGTTGTCATGCAGAATGTGCGTTAATGTTTCTTATATTTATCTAAACAACTAAGGGATTGTTGAGGACTCATGAATGGTGGCATACTGTATGTGTGGTGTGATAGAAATGTAAGAAGCTCCAGACTATGATGACTTTGATCTCAGTGCTGCGATGAGTACAAAGATATCAGGCGCTTATCATGGCGGCTCAAGACCGTCTGCACAACAAGGCCTGAGTGATGCTCGAAAACATGTTAAGACGCAATCATTTTCAGAGAGCAGGTAAATCCTAAGACATGAGGCACATCCTATATAGAGTTAATCCACTGTTACAAGATAAAACAACATGTATAAACCATCTGTATGCACTGCATGTACACTGCACAACATCGTCACTTAATCGCAAGTAAGCTAATATGGGACAATACAATTGGATATGGAAATAAACAGGCGAGAAAGTAAAGAGACTGAGTGTTCTCTACAAAAAGCCCTTCAGAAAGCCTCATCCGCTCCTTGTTGTGGAATTGTTAGCTTCTCACAAGTACAGAATTAATCACCTGCCTGCCTTTTTGGTCTCTGCGCCAGGACCCGAGGACAGAGGTAATAAGACAAGCCCTTCAGGGACGCACTGCCGAGTATAAATATCAGCTGCTGTGCATATGTAAATCACTCCGAGATTTATTTATTTTTTAATTTCTTCCCAGAGGCTCAAGTGTGCTAATATCAAATAGCAAGCTTTTAGGGAGTGCGTAATGGCTGTTGGTGGGTGGTAGGGGAGCGGCGGACTCTGGAGCGTGCGCCAGTTCATGAGTAATTAAGGGGTGTTTTGCCGAGCATAAATAATGCTGTTTGTATTGGCCCTATGCAGGAGTGGAGCGCACAGAGAAGAGAGGAGGAGGCTTAGAGTGGGGGTGGAGGTGAGGTGGATGGTGGGGGTTGGTGTTGGACAGACATGAACAGCAGGGGTTAACCCCTCAACACATACACACACTCTCTCCTCACCACTCGGCACCTCTTAACGCAACACGCAGGCACCGAGAGGTTCATTTGTTAGTTCTATACCACTCGGCATTACTTAACGAACATTATTGTTCATGAGAAGCAGTGTGACGTGGGGAGAATTACTGTGTTTCTTTCCACTAACCTCCCTAATCGTTCTTTGATGAAATATATGTCATAACTGGAGTCCATACACAGTAATAAGCACTACAACATCAACGGTATCTCCAGTTTAGTTTGAATCTACCATTAATATACCCCATATTAATGGCACAAATATATAAATGATTATGATCATTATTTATCCTAAAAACACCCATGCTGTAACCCATTTTGTTTAATCTTTACACTGGTTACCCGTGCATTTTAAAGTGGACTTTTTGATTTCTATGGTTGATTATGAATTTGCCTTTGGGCCCCAAGCTTTAAAAAACCCAATCTAAGGAGGTCAGAATAGTCAGATATGTTTTATTCTTAAAAAGCTATTTTTGTTACCTACAATTGTTTTTGGACCTCTCTTGCTTCATTTTTTTGTATTGATGTCTTAGTGCTGTTGCTATTGTTTGAGTGCTTTATGAATAATATTCCATTATTATTTTTATTATCTAACTTCAGCACATCATCCTTGCATGTTACTTTCTTAAGTGGTGAGGATTGACGTCATATACAATTATACCATGTCAACTTTACAGTATTACCATGAAGCTCTGTAACAAATTCACCATTAAAAAAGGTAATCTGAACAGTGTGTACTGTGAGTCATGTCAGAGCAGGTGATTTTAACTGGGGTAGGAAATAGAGTTATTTCCTCACCCATTAGTAGAGGAGTCAGCGCACTAATGGTCAGAGAGTAACCCCTCCTCCCCGACACCACCACAGACACCAAAGCAGTCGGAGCCCTTTATAGATTCTCCCCTCTTGTCTTCTCTCGTCAACGTATTCACCTGCACTTAAAAATCCTCAGATATGTGCAGCTCCACTTGCCAAAGATATCACTCCAAGTATTGAGAGTTATCCACAGAAAGAGCATTTGGATTAACCAATTAAAATCCTCATCATAAATTAGAGCAAGTTTTACATGGAATTAAAACATTAGAAACACATTTATCATGCATATGATATATGTTTTCTTGTTAGCATGTATATGGTCAAAACACATCAAGTGCACTGTGCTACAAAGCTCTAGGGGAAATAAGCGATTCTAAACGGTGTTCTACTTTATGAAACCGTGATCCAATATTGCCTCTAACAAAGAGGGAATACATACCTTACCACCTCCTCCTCCTCCTCCTCCTCCTCCTCCTCACAGTTTTAGGTGCCACAAAGGACTATGATAGTGAAGGGAAACACACTCACAATATAGGCTTACAAGTTCCTCTGGGTACAATTATACCATATCTCTCTTGTAACAAGTGGCTTAGGTGAGGGGGACAAGAGGACAACCTCTTCAGTGAAACAATTTAGCCGTCATGACTGTGTGGCAGGACCCAGTCCTGTTTGGGAAGCAGGCTGATCCCCAGAGTCAGAGGATAATCGTGTCCAGCCCTGAGAACCAATAAATCAATCTGGTTTAACAACCACGTTTCAAAGACCTATATGTTAAGCTCCATCAACAATAAAATAATCATTGTTTGTTCCTTTAAAAAAAGCCTCTGTTATTTTTCACCATGTGACATCCACAAACACCAATTCAACAGGAGAAGCATCTAATCTGATTTTTTCTCTGTCTTTGAGTCCATTACAAATGATAAATGTGTTATTGCTGATGGTTCCACAGGACTGTTGTCGCTTCTTGATAAATACAAAAAAAAAAGCTTGAAGGCAGGTCAGAGAATATAAGTTTACTCCACTATCACTTCCATGGCCATGCACACAAAAGGCTTGTTTATTCATTAGACTCTTAATAAGCCGAGGTATCAGAGCAGACACATGCTGGGGTTGTTTGTGACTCACCAGGAGGTACTGTACAGCTAACAGGGACTGGCAGCACCTGTGCCCCCCCCCGCTCCTGCTGCCAGCACTGTGCTGCGGGGCCCAGGAGAGGCACATTAGCCGGGGCTGCGACTGGAGCTCCACCAGCCCGCTCATGCTGGGGAAATGTCAGCCGCAAAACCAGCCAGGTCCACTGAGCCCTGAGCCTGGCTCTGGCGCCCAGCATGACTCTGACATGATCATGGACGGCGGTTGTGACACATGTAAGCAATGACTCCACACAGCTATCTGATCAGCATTACACCACTGTCAGAAGGCTCTGACTACAGGAGCGTGATGAGAGCTGTGATAGGGCTGCCTCCCTCTCTGATATGGGTCAGACGTGGAGGTGGCCGGCCCACCTCCCTGAAAGAACGCTGCACTACGCACTTCCTTTTCACTGTCAACAGCATTGGATTGAAAGACTAAAGGAGTGAATAAATCTATGTTTTTGTAAAAAGTTCTATCAATCCATTATTTCTCACATGATGTATTTATTTTTAATGAACACACAAGGAGGATTTGAAATATACTAGGAGCAAAACAAGCATTATTTGTCATAAGCCTGTGTGTGCATCAGCCATCAATCATTGCCATCAGAATTGCCACAGTCTGCTGTCAGGGCCTATTACTGCTGAATTCATTTCCCTCAATTAATTCAAAATCTAACCCCTTGGCAGCCACCAATGTATGTTTTTTATATCCATCCACCCACCTATTTGTCAAAATGGACTCAGTGACAGTACAGTAATGCATTCATTATAAAAATGAGAAACAATAGTGCACACATATCATTAATTAGCCCAGCATTTAGAAACAACAAATATACAGCAACCACTTTCCTGAAAATACTGTGGTCTTAGACTACATACTTGGAAAGTGCTACAATAATCCATTGTTAAATATTTTTCCTTAAACCATTTAGATTTCAGAAAAGGGTAGCCTTCTGATAACAATGTTTGCTGACCTCCCCTCATCTTTGATGTAACCATTTTTTTTCTGATGACAATGAGCATATAAAGCCAAAGCCCACACACGAGATCCCATCAGTTAAGAAAAGACAAAGAAATGTCATCAGCAGTGTAATACTGTCTGATCATTTGTGTTATCTACCCCACACACACACACACACACACACACACACACACACACACACACACACACACACACACACACACACACACACAAACACACACACACAAATATACACTGAGGCAGAGACATTTATCTGCGTCATGTCCTCAGAAATCAATAACCAATCAAAGCAATCATTGCCTTTATAGTCCGTCGAACACACCGCAGCTATCACACACATGCCCAGGATGTCACATGCACACACACCCATGCTGCGACCCCAGATTACACACTCCATCTCACTTTCAGTTTAACCAGGCCCATTGAGGATTATAGATACATAATGCCATGTGTACAGATTAGGTATGACAATAAACTACTGATAGCCAAAGTAAGCCCTGCCTTCTCTGTGGCTATGTGCGGTACTGTATGTGTGTGTGTGTGTGTGTGTGTGTGTGTGTGTGTGTGTGTGTGTGTGTGTGTGTGTGTGTGTGTGTGTGTGCGCGCGTTAATACTGTAATGGCATGCATGAATAAACATAATGTGTAACAGAGCTGAATTGGAATGACGTCTCGGCACAGAGACACAGTGTGTGTTTGTTTTGTGTACGTGTGAGTGTGTGTGTAAGTGTGATCTGTTACAGAGCAGATCAGAAGGAGACCTCAGTTCCTGCATCACATCATTCTGCCAGAAGGCTTTTATACTTGCTCCCAGTCACCCGGCGCTACAGACGAATATGCGCGCACACGCAAAAAGAGTGTGAAGAGGGTTGGTGTGTCTCTTACTGTTGGCGTCAGTGTCGTCACTCTTGGGAGGGGTGTGTCCGGTGTATCCAACAGCAATCCTGACCATTCGCTCTGGATTTCTTATCTTCTTCAATCCTACAAAGAGGGGGAAAAAAGAGAAAAACACATTTAGGAGGCGCTGCAGACTTTGGTTTCCTCATCCTTCTCCTCTGAAGCTTGGAAACAAAACTCCAAGTGATATGCATGTGGGCTGATCCATTTTCATATCCACTAACTTGCCTCCATTGTGTCTCCTGATCGATTGGCCACAGTAGATGCACTGCCTCCATGTGTGTGACTAACTTGTACCAAGCTTTACTTTCTCTTCTCTCTCATCATTTCTCTGTTTCCCTGACCACTGTTGCTATGATACAAAGTAGACCAACCAGCACACAGGGAGATGGTTTTCCAGGCTATATGGTGGATGTTGTTCTCATGCCCACTGGTGTACTCTGCTGATCAGCGCCACACACATCTGCCAGGGGTGGGAAGCTGTACTGCTGTCTGCCCTGCCATGCATTTGGCTTCCATTCAGCACGGCTGAGCCTCGTAAATTATTACACCTTCTCTGCATATAACACAGAGGGGGGCAACGGACAGAAAACCCTCATACGGTGAATGTGTGAGACGGTTTGCGTGTTAGCATTTACAGAATGGGCAGGGGGATGGTTTTATATGTATGTGGTACAGTGCCTACTGATACCCATGGGCCATCTGTCTCATCTACAGTTCGAGTCTTTACACGCAATGGGACTCTCAACCCATGGCCTTCCCTTTGCCTCTGGCTGCACTCTGCATGCCTGCCTGCACGCTTCTCTGTATGTGTCTGCTTTTAAGAGCTGTACACCTGCATATGTGCTTCCCAAATGTTAAACACTACTTGTGTAGTTCAAGTTATCCAAAAATTGCCCTTTAAAGAAATCCTGCTCAGCATCGCTCTCTAATGGAGAGAGGTTAAAAGTGACTTTGTATCACTTTTCTGAGGAAGAGATCAGAGGAATAATTTAAGAATAGTCCTATAATAAAACTGTCTTCAGTGCTATATGTCATTTTAGCTGTTAGGGTATTGAAGAACTGCGTGTCATCCACAACACATTGAGCTGATGTGTTTTTTGAGGATGTGTGATATCTTCTTTGAACAGGCAAGACACAAAAAACAATGCTTACAACGGATTAAACGGTTTATAAACAAATGTCAAACACACAGGTAAGAAACAGAGATGTCATTAGAGTCGAGGTGGAGATGACATTGCTGATGGTGGTTTTGGTCACCTTAAATAATTAATGAAAGATTGAAAAACAGTCAGGAGGTTCTGAATGAAATGGTGGCTGTGTGTGAAAATAATGACCCATGAGAGTTTTGCAGGGGGACTAAAAATGTAAACTACATTCTTACGTGATATGACCTAAAACTGACACACACACACAGCTCACAACACCTCCCCCATCCCTAAATGCAGCCAGATTCTCACCTTCACTGCCTTGGCAACCATAAGCACACATCAAATGAACACAAACATAAACATACACGCCAACACTGGATAGTGACTAAATAAATGCACAGCTGGTCGGTGAGGTTGCTTGCATGTCAGGCAAGGAAATCTACGATTCAATGGTCTATTTTATGCCTTCAGAGACACACACATATACACACACACACACACACACACACACACACACACACACACACACACACACACACAAAGATAAACAACAAAATAGAAAAAGTACATAATTAATAAAAAGCACAAAGCGCAACTAGCCTTATCAGCGAGGCTACTGTATCTTATTAAACAACAGTTTTGTCTTGAAGAGGACAAGGAGACTTTCATGCCTAAAATGTAGTGTTTTAATTAATTAAGCGTGAACAAGATTTAACTTCAGGATATCATTTGAAAGTATAATTGCCCAGAAGGATTAAAATGAACTCTGTGGGCTGTATGTCACCCCACTGAGCTCCACATGTTGGGAAATGTCCAGTAATAAAGATTAATTTACATCTTTGAGTAGGAATCTCAATCTTGCTCAAAAGTTAAAAGAAGAAAAAGGGAAAAAATAATTTGCTATCAGATGCCACTTGACTAAAGTGTTCACCATGCAGAATTCACGATTACATTTTCCCGTGCATGATTCCAATCGCTTTAGTGGCTATGCAGGGAGCATTTCACCGTGTATATTAATTACACAGGGGCTTTGTCATGTGAGGGTCACAGCAGCCATGCTAGCTAAGCTGGGTCATATAAACTGGGAGCGCAGCTTTGTGAGCCTGCTGTGCACATCACGGCCTCAGTCAGGAAGCACAGAGCTGCAGAGATAGGTTGCTGGTGTGATTACCAGTTCAGTAATAAATACCAATTTCCCACCGGCCCCTGTAGAAGTCATGCGTCTAAGCAGCTCACAATAGGATTAAAATACGCCTATTAGACTGTGTTTATTACAGATTAGAAAGTTAGGACAGCCAATTATTCTGCCCACTTAAAGAACAAATCTGTAGTTTCTTGATTAAGTGAAAAAAGGTGAACATTTCACACCAGAAATGGAATGAACATTCTTAAAAATCTTCTTTTGAAAGCTCACCTATTGAGTTAATTACAGTAAGCACCACATGAAGCACTATTCTCCACTTTTGGAACTGTGAAACCAGTTTTTTAACAGATATATCGCTCTATAATTTCCTTCCCGTGCAGTGCCTTTGCCACAAGTCTTGGTTGACATGAGTTTATGTGACATTTGGGAGGAGGGATGTGCATGAGTCGTGGATGGTTAGACTTACAGCAGTGACTCAGCTGGTTGATGTGTGGGACATTTCTCACATCTCTTTAGGCAAACACACCAAACAGCTCCAAATAGCTCCTAACAACTCCTAGAACAGAATAAAAGGGAAGCTCCGGTTCATTCCAAGGGGTACACATGTTCAAATGTTATGTGTTTCATAAATTGTTTTGGAAAAAGAGCATCTAAAAGACATGCCAATATTTAAGAGGAGTAAGAGTTACCGAGAAAAATCTTTATAGTTTAGTGTTAAAGTGACAATAAAGTTTGATTCTTTCAATATCCAGCATAGCATTGTAACTTACATTATGACTTTTTTCTATCTTTAATAACACATGCTTGATTAAATATTAGGCAGCAGGTTGATTGGTCCTCATGTGATAAACACGTGTCAATACTTTTGGGTCTTAATGTAAAAAAGTACGACTTTTAACTGAGATTGAGTATGAATAATAATAATAGGGGCTACAAATATACCGCAAAAGGATATTTCCTCTGAATTGCATCCTAAACCCACACCTGCAGCAACTCTGTGTCCTTGAAATAATTACACTTGTCCTGTTATGGAGCCCATAATTCATCCTCATTGTTTTGAACTTTCCTATATGAAAGAAAAATCTCAACACACTCATTTTAATGTCCATAGAACATTTGTTGTTCGGTGGGATGCATGAATTAGGCCCCACTCAGTATGGAGAAGAGATTTCCAAATCCTGTGATGTGTCCTTTTGAGGCGTACCTAACAAGTTTCATTTCTGATTAGCTCAGCAGAAACTGTGATAGTTTACCTTGATAAATTAGAGGAGGCAAGATTTAATGAACGGAACATGGGGGTCATCTTTGTTTCTTGGGGTGATACAATAAGGAAAAAACAAACAGATTTTTCTTACTGCCACATGCCTCTCCTTAATAATCAGATTTCTCATCCTCCTCGTAATAGAGGGTGCACAGAATCTCATTACCTCCTCTAGCTGAGGGGAGAGAGGCAACACTTCTTCTTTGACTCCCTCAGTAAGCCGTGGAGGGGAGGGCAGGGGAGAAAGCATGGGACACACAGAGTTCTGCTTATTTGCACATACATCGACATGCCCTCACAGATATGTAAATGACTCGGGCAAAACCCAAATGCGAAAGTCTACACCATTAGTTTTCCACTTCATAATCTCCACATGGGGCCGTTAGAGGGATAATGTACCATACAATACATGGTTTACTTTTAATTAATAGGGAAAACGTATTTTGAAACGAATATTAAATCTAGATTAATGTGGAAAACCTCCCAGCTCTTTGTGAATGTACAGTAAGGTTCTGCTTCTTTCAAGAAAGAGGGAACACAGCAAAACAGTCCACTTGAGAAAAAAACTAAATTCAAGAGGCATGAAATTATTAAATGGAACAATGGAGGATCACAAGTTTATTTTCTACTAAATTAAAAGGGATAGCAGTTTCATCTTGTCACCACATAGACAAAGGCATGCAGGAATTGACTGAGCTGCTGTAAGAATGTATTTTATTGATGAAACAATTAATAAATTGATAAAATAATTGTCAACTGATAATGGAGTAATTGCGGTAATTTATTAAAGAACAAGACCAAGAGTAGACAGCCACACTAAGGCTAACAGGCTCACAGTGACAGAGTGAAGTTCACGTGCTGATGTTAATCAGTCGTAATGATAACACGTTGACCGTCTCAGTTTAGTGTGTTAGCATGCTCAAATGTGCTAATTAGCACTAAAGGCAAAGCACAGCTGTGAAAATGTCAATTGTTTTGCAGATATTTGAAACCAAACGTTGACTCTTAGAAAAAGAAAACCTTATGATTTATCCTCTGGAGAACATGAATGTATGAACTGCCACGATTTCAGATTTTTAAAACGGTGATAAAGTCCAAAATAATTTAAAATAGCCTTTTTATCATGATATCTATGCAATTTGAAAAAATCAAGATTAATAATGCTGTCAGTCAAAATCATCTTTCATTAAAAACAATGGTATAATAAAACAATTTGTTCTACCACTGCCCTAGAAAATGTCCCATTTTAATTTAAATATTTGCTTTCCTTTAAAAAACCTTTTGTAGTAAAACATATTTATTACAATATAAGCTCCTTAGACTTAGTTTCAAAGAAGTTGTATTTATTTCAGTTTAGAAATAAAAACATATTTTTAAGTATAACTCATGGCATCATCAGAGTCATTTTCCCCCCAAACTATTTATGAAAATTAAAACAGAAATGCCCGTGTACTTCCACTCTCACCACCTACTAACAAAGGCCCTACAGCGACATAGGTTCCAGACATCAGTCTCCTTCTGAAGTTTA